GATCTTTGATGGTGGACAACTGATTGTCAATGACAGCAAGTTTCTCAGCAAGGTCAGGGTCAGTAGGACTATGATGGGAAACAAAGGGTTTGGATTTTGATTCAGGTTGAACAAGTTTGACCTTACCTTCTTGCTTCTTAACCCATTAGCCCTTCACACAGACATACTCACAAACGCTCTAGAATTGTAAGATTTTGAAATAAAGATGAAGGGATATTCAGAGATGGAGATATTATGAGCTTCCAGAATGTGAGTGATGGCCATGCCATAGGGTAGGCTGGTGGGATCATCAGCACTTTCAATCATAAAATTGATGACCTAAGAGGATAGTTTGATCTTGAGTTTTGTCCTAAGGCAATAGACAAGAAAAGTATCTCTTTGAGAGAAGGTTGAGAAAGAACAGTACGAGGAAGCAGAGTAGTTGCAACAATGTAGGCTAGAACATGAGTTTCAAAACTAACATCACTTGGACCTAACTGCTTTGGGAGAGATTCAGATGGACACTCAGCAATACACCATTTTGCTTGATCAAAAGAGATTTCAAAATCATCAGGCCAGGAATTTTTAAAAATCATGGAAAAACCAGAACACTTACACTGGAAAATTGAGTCAAACATGGCACAATCAAGAATAATGTGCTTCCCTAAGACTAAGGATTCCAACTTGTCAGACTTACTAGAGCGAATATTTGCAAAAAACATTTTCACTAGGGGTTCATAAACTTTAGGAGGAGGAACATAAAAGAATTTTGACCAGCCTTGATAGACGAACAGATCTTTTACCTTACAATTTAGGGCTTCCATGTCATCAAGGTTGACTACCCTCCCATGAGCAATTGGCTTGTCTTTCAAAGCGATGAAAGAATCCATGTTTGGAGAATCTCAAAAATTTAGGTCAGACTCTAAAGAGGTGGAGAGATCTATTTTCGACTTCTTTGGAGTAAAGGATTCAAAAGGTTCTTCCATAGGACTTTTTCCCAAGGCTTTTTCTCCTAAAGTATGAGAATGATCTGAGAGGTCTGCCTGAGAGGAGGTAAAACCTTCTGAATGGTCGGACCCTAGGTCTACTTGTTCTGGAGGATGAGAAGGTGGTTTTGCTCTGGATCGAGTATTCTTCCTGGTAGAGGCAGAGGGAATTTTGGAGTGTTTGGCCATGGAAAAACTTTGGTTGAGGAAAGGTTTTGGAGAGGGTTTCTAGGCGTTAGAGACAATGGAGATTAAAAAGGGGTTTCAGGTATTAAAAGAAGGGTTTCTGACGGTTGAGTATAGAAAAGGAAGGGGTGTCAGTGATCAGACGTGATAATTGGTTTTCCTTCTTTGAACTCTACAACTGATGTGAAAAGAGAGGAAAAGAGAGGAAATTCGGAGGCACAATTAATGATTAAAAAATGAGCATTGGCCATATAGTAACACATAGGTCCTAATATTAATTATTAATGCAAATAATACCAAGTAATTCTCTTAAAAAGCAAAATTTGTCCTCTAGTAAAGGCTTAGTAAAAATATCCGCTAATTGATCAGTAGTTCCAACAAAAGATAGTTCTATATTTCCCTTAAGGACATGATCTCTAATAAAATGATGCTTGATGTCTATATGCTTTACCCTAGAATGATGCACAGGATTTTTTGAGATACATATAGCACTAGAGTTATCACAGAAAATTGGTATAGGTTTAATATTAGTCACACAATTGATAAGGCATCCATAGTAATTGTGCACAGCATTGTCCAATGGCAATATACTCAGCCTCAGTTATGGATAATGCGACTGATCCTTGCTTTTTACTGTTCCAAGATATCAGTGCCTTTCCAAGTAGTTGGCATGTTCCACTAGTACTTTTTCTGTCTTCCTTATCACCTGCAAGATCAACATCTGAAAAAACTTCTAGTTTAAAATTATTAGAGCGTGGATACCACAATCCATGAGAGATAGTTCCAATAAGATATCGAATAATTCCATTTACTGCAGTCAGATGTGATTCTTTAGGAGCTGATTGAAACCTGGCACATTTACAGACACTAAACATAACATCCGGTTGACTAGCAGATAGATAAATAAGTGAGCCAATCATTCCACGATACTTAGTTTCATCAACAGGATTTCCTTGTTCATCTTTGTTAAGACTGGTTGAAGGACTCATTGGTGTGCCAATAGCTTTGGCATTGCTCATACCAAACTTTTGAATCAACTCCTTTGTATATTTTGTCTGACATATGAACGTTCCTTCTTTAGATTGTTGAATTTGAAGTCCAAGAAAAAACGTTAGCTCCCCTATCATACTCATTTCAAACTCGCTTTGCATAAGATTTGAAAATTCCTTGCACAAAAGAGGATTAGCACTACCAAAAATAATATCATCAATTTAAACTTGAATAATGAGATTACCTTCTAATGATCTTTTAATAAACAGGGTAGTATCTACTTTACCTTTTGTAAATCCATGATCAATAAGAAATGAGCTAAGTCTTTCGTACCATGCTCGTGGAGGTTGTTTCAGTCCATACACCGCTTTGGTCAGTTTATACACATGGTAGGGAAACTTTGAATCTTCAAATCCAGGAGGTTGTTTCACGTATACCTCCTCTTCAATGAAACCATTCAAAGAGGCACTTTTAACATCCATCTGGAATAGCCTGAATCTTTTAAAGGATGCATATGCAAGAAGAATTCGTATAGATTCCAGTCGAGCTACTGGAGCGAAGGTTTCATCATAGTCGACTCCTTCTTGTTGAGAGTATCCTTGAGAAACTAATCTGGCTTTGTTTCTCACAACTTTTCCATCCTCATTCAGCTTATTTCTAAAGACCCATTTTGTTCCAATTATAGGAGTATTTTCAGGCTTGGGCATCAGTTTCCATACTTGATTTTTGTCGAATTGATCTAGCTCTTCCTGCATTGCTTGCAGCCAGCTTGAGTCTTTCAAAGCTTCCTCTATTTTCTTTGGCTCAATCTGGGAAATCAGTGCTATGTTAGATTTCTTCTTGAGAGCTCCCCTGGTTTTCATTCCTTCGCTTGGATCCCCTATGATGAACTTTTGAGGATATTCCAGTTCACTTCTCCATTCATTTGGACGAACTGTATGAGTAGTTGACTCCTCTGGATGTTCTGATTGATTGTTGCTAATCTCATTAGTTGAATCTACCATACTATCAGGTTTATTAGTCGACTCTTGAGATTTGCTTGTCTCCTGAATTACCTGTGTTTGATCTTCATCACCTGCAGTAATTCCTTTCTCAGCCGAAGTGTTATTCTCATCAAAGATAACATGTACTGACTCTTCTACACACAATGTGCTTTTATTATAGACTATAAAATATCTACTATTCAATGAATAACCCAGAAAAATACCTTTGTTACTTCTTGGATTGAATTTTCCAAGATTTCCCTTACCATTATTATGAATGAAACACTTACTTCCAAAAGGATGAAAGTAACTTATATTGGGTCGTTTACCTTTCCACAGTTCATAGGGAGTCTTCCTCAGGATGGGTCTTATGAGACATCGATTGAGGATGTGACAATCTGTACTTACTCTTTCTGCCCAGAAGTGATTTGGCAGTGAATATTCTAGTATCATAGTTCTTGCCATATCCTGTAAAGTCCTATTTTTCCTTTCAACAACTCCATTCTGTTGGGGTGACCTTGGAGCAGAGAAGTTGTGAGTGTATCCTTGATCGTTGCAGAAATCTTCAAATGCTCTGCTTTCAAATTCTCCTCCGTGATCACTTTGAATAGTTGTAATAAGATATCCCTTTTCTCTTTCGAAGCTTTATCTTTGTGAGATAGAAAAATCACCCAAGTAAAACGTGAGTAATCATCAACAATAACAAATGCATATCATTTTCCTCCTATGCTAGTAGTTCTAGTAGGTCCAAATAAGTCCATATAAAGCAATTGCAAGGGTTTTGAAGTGGATACAACAACTTTGTTTTTGAAAGAATTTCTAGTTTATTTACCAATTTGACATGCATCACATTCATGATTTCTAGAAAAAATGAGTTTGGGTAAACCAATAACTAAATCATGCTTGGAAAGTTTTTCTATCTAATACATGCTTGCATGACCAAGTTTCTTATACCATAACCATGGATCATCAGATATGGATGTTAAGCAAATATGACCATCTATATTTTCAAAACCATCAAGAATATAGACATTTCCATACCTTTTACCTGGGAGGATTGTTTTACCTGTCTCATCTTCAATAGCACAACCTGATTTCTTGAACTTTACTTCATACCCTGAGTTGCATAGCTGACTAATACTCAGAATTTTGTAGTTAAGTCCGTCAACAAGATAAACTTCAGTGATATCACAGTTATTATTGAAAGGAACTGTTCCGGTACCGACTATCTTTCCTTTTGAGTCATCACCAAATTTGACATTTCCTCCATCTATTTTCGTAACTTCTTTAAACAGGTTTTTATCACCTGGCATATTACCGGAACACGCACTATCCAAGTACCATTATCCTTTGCGACTCCTTCTGTGGTTCCTTGTTGGTTAGTATTACTAGATTCAGGATTATTTTTGGGTTTCCAAATCCATCCTGAGACATTTGACTTACGAAATTGACAAAAAGAATATTTGTGTCCACTTTTATTATAGTAGTGACACGTAGGACTTGATCCATTTTTGGTTCTCCCGTTTGTGTCAGCACTAGTGGACTCTGTTCTGGCTGGTCCTTTTCCAGTTGACTTGTAAGTCGCCTGGTTTGACTTTACAGAACTATGACTGGTGGATTTGCGCATGCCATTGAGTTGCATTTGCAATTCATCAACTTCATCTTGAAGTACTTCTTTTTCAATTTCGCATACTTCAAACTTGAGTTTCCAGTCTTTTATTTCTCTGTTGAGTCTCTTTATTTCATTCATCATCTTTTGAGACTCTTTTAAAGTAAGGTCAAGAATATCCTGCAATTTATTACATATTTCACAGTTAAAAGGTCTTACCTTGCTTGTTTCACCTCGTGCCATGAAACAATTCTCGTTGTCATCTTTTCAATCATTATCTGAGATGTCCTCATCTATCCAGCACCCTGAAAGCTTGTTCATGTCGTTTTCCAAAATTGTCATGAAGCATAGATTTGCTATCTCTTCATGTTCAGAACTATCTTCATCACTCCAGCTTCCAAATGATTTGTTCTTGTTAAACCCTCTGGAGACCTTTCTTTTAAGCTTGGGACATTCAGCTTGAACATGCCCAAATCTTCCACATTCATAACATTTGCCATCATTTTTGTCTTGTTCATTGTATTGCCTAGTTCGCCTGGGTGGTATTCTGCCTCTTTTTGTATTCATGTATCTCCTCATTAAATTATCCATGTTCCTTGATACCATGAAAATTTCTTCTTGAAGAGCTTCAGGGTCATCATCAATATCATTGTCTGTTCTTTCAGGTGTAGCCTTGAAAGCAACTGTTTTCTTCTTCTCTTCTTGATTTGTTTTCTTGAGATGAGTTTTCTCAAAAGCTATAAGTTCTCCTCGAAGTTCATCATATGATAATTTATTCAAATCCTGTGACTCAAGAGTAACTACCTTTGTCTGCCAAGTAGTGGGCAGACTTCTCAGAATTTTCCTAACTTGATCACCACTTGAGTAGGGTTTGCCAAAAGCTTTTAGATCACTGATGATTTTGCTAAATCTGGCAAATATTTCTTTAATAGATTCTCTTTCTTTCATCTGGAAAAGTTCGTAGTCATGGACCAACATGTTAATATGGGTTTCTTTCACTTTACTGGTTCCTTCATAAGTGACTTCAAGTTTATCCCACATCTCTTTGGCTGTATCACAATTGGCGATTTTCTCGTATTCCTCAACACTTATAGCATTATAAAGCAGATTCCTTACTTTAGCATTAACTTGTACAACCGCCATTTGTTCATCGGTATATTCATCTATATCTTCAGGATCAACGGGTGGTTGAGCAACAACCGGTAGTGGGTAATTCCCCTTTTTGATAACTCTCCAAACCTTGAGATCATAAGATTTTGCATATATTTCCATACGCACTTTCCAGTGAGAGAAATGTTGTCCATTAAAATATGGTGGCCTCAGTTGCGATGTTCCTTCCTGAAAGAGTGCTCCGACAATAACTTAATTTACCATGATCTTTTCTCACAAGCTGTTAAGCAAAAGAAAAAGTGTGAGCCTTGCTCTGATACCAAATGAAACTACAAGGGGGGGGGTGAATTGTTTATTTTTATATTTTAATAGCTACTAGTTGACTAGTTTTCTAATTAGTCGACATGATGTAATAACGAGATAATAAGAAGAGAAGAAATTAAGATGCAGAAATAAAGTGCAAGAATTAAAGACACTAGAATTTTTATACTAGTTCGGATTCAATGTGAATCCTAGTCCAGTCCCCTTGGGTTGCAAGGAAGTTCTCTTTAAGTGAATGAGTTTCTGGAGTACAATCGTGAATGATGTGGTTTACACCAATGGCTCAATTTCTATGTCACTCATTTTTTTTATACAATGCCTCACCAGTATTTTTCTCTCTTTCTTCTCTAACTTGTTACACAACAGATCTAATAGAGCTACAATGTTTGTTTGCAGTAGAACAAAGAGAGGGTATTTGGTTCGATCAAAGTATATTTTTCTAAGGCTTAAGGATGTGTATAAATACTTTGTAAGAGGCCGTTGCTGAAGAGATTTGCCAACCCAAGAGATTTGATCCTTGGAAAAAGATTGATTCTTTCCAAGAATAAGGTTATTTGCCGTTGGTCTTCCTTGATGAAAGGACTTTAATAGCTTTCCTTCTACAGGTCTTGATAGCACTGTATTTACTCCTTGATGTTTGGTCCTTTCAGTAATAGCAACTTGATTGATCATCTTGCAAGATTTTCGATACTTCTTTTCCGCTTCAATTAATCTCGGATTGATTTCCTTGTCTTTGATTGATTCCTTCAATCTTGGATGCTTTCCTTGAGTCCTTTAATTGATTCCCCTAATCTTAGATGCTTTCCTTGAGTCCCTGTATCAAGTCCTTGTACCAAGAGCAATTATATTATTTTCATCATTAAAACTAAAACCTAACACACCGGGGAATTGCTATAAGTGTGGAGAGTTTGGCCACATCAGGAGACATTTCCTCGCCTTATGGGAGGTCCGGCTCAGCAGAGGAGCTAGTCTATGACATCAGCACCAGTTTCTTCCCTACCCGCTCAGCGAGCTCGGGGTGGAGCCCAGTCAGATAGGGGTCGCCCGAGAGAGGGAGGCCGATCAGGGGGTGGCCAGGCCCGTTTCTATGCTCTTCCTGCCAGACCAGATGCCATGCCATTGATTCTAATGCTATGATTATAGGTATTGTCTCAGTTTGACATAGAGATGCCTCTGTATTATTTGACCCTGGTTCTACTTATTCATATGTTTCCTCGTATTTCACTCATTTTATGGATATGCCCAATGAGTCTTTAGTTTTATCTGTTCACGTGTCTACTCCTGTGGGTGATACTATTATTGTGGACCGCGTATATCGGTCATGTGTGGTGACTATTGAGGGTCTGGAGACCAGAGTGGATCTTTTGTTGCTCAGTATGGTCGATTTTGATGTGATATTAGGTATGGATTGGTGTTCTCCATGTCATGCTATTCTAGATTGTCATGCTAAGACTGTGACGTTGGCGATGCCGGGGTTGCCGAGGGTTGCGTGGGGCGGTTCTATAGACTATGTTCTCATTAGAGTGATTTCATACTTGAAGGCTCTGCGGATGGTTGAGAAGTGTTATCTATCCTATTTAGTTTTGTGAGGGATGTTAGTGCAGAGACTCCTGCCATTGATTCTGTTTCGGTAGTGCGTGAGTTTCCGGATGTGTTTACTGCAGACCTGCTGGGCACGCCGCCCGATAGGAATATTGATTTTGGTATTGATTTGGTGCTGGGCACTCAGGCTATTTCTATTCCACCGTACCGTATGGCGTCGGCTGAGTTGAAGGAGTTGCAGGAGCAGCTTTAGGAACTCCTTGATAAGGGGTTTATTCGGCCTAGCGTGTCACCTTGGGGTGCACCAGTTCTATTTGTGAAGAAGGATGGTACTATGAGAATGTGCATTGATTACAGACAGTTGAACAAGGTCACAATCAAGAACAAATATCCTTTGCCGCGTATTGATGATTTGTTTGACTAGCTTCAGGGAGCGATGGTGTTCTCCAAGATTAATTTGAGGTCACGGTATCACCAGCTAAATATTCGAGATTCAGATATTCTTAATTGATATAACCATTATGAGTTCCTTGTGATGTCTTTTGGGCTGACCAACGCCCTAACAACGTTCATGCATATGATGAACAATGTGTTTCAGTCTTATTTGGACTCATTCGTCATTGTATTCATTGATAATATCCTAGTGTACTCTCATAGCTAGGAGGAACATGTCCAGCATCTGAGGATTGTGATACAGAGATTGAGGGAGGAGAAGCTTTATGCAAAGTTCTCCAAGTGTGAGTTTTGGCTCAGTTCAATGGTGTTCTTGGGGCACGTGGTATCCAGTGAGGGTATTCAGGTGGATTCGAAGAAGATAGAGGCGGTGCAGAGTTGGCCCAGACCGTCCTCAGCCACGGAGATTAGGAGCTTCGTTGGTTTAGCGGGCTATTACCGTCGTTTTTTGGAGGGTTTCTCATCTATTGCATTGCCCTTGACCAAATTGACCCAAAAGGGTGCTCCTTTCAGGTGGTCGGATGAGTGTGAGGAGAGCTTTCGAAAGCTCAAGACTGCTTTGACCACGGCTCCAGTTCTAGTTCTACCATCAGCTTCTAGTTCTTACATAGTGTATTGTGATGCCTCGCGGATCGGCATTGGGTGTGTTCTGATGTAGGAGGGTAGAGTGATTGCTTATGCTTCATGCCAGTTGAAGCCCTATGAGAAGAACTATCATGTTCACGACATTGAGTTAGCAGCTATTGTTCACGCCTTGAAGATTTGGAGGCACTATTTGTATGGTGTCCATTATGAGATTTACACTGATCATCGGAGTCTGCAGCATCTGGTAAAATAGAAGGATATTAACTTGCGTCAGCATAGGTGGTTGGAGCTTCTTAAGGACTATGATATCACCATTTTGTACCATCCCGGGAAGGCCAATGTGGTGGCCGATGCCTTGAGTCGCCGAGCGAAGAGTGTGGGGAGCTTAGCATATCTTCCAGCAGCAGAGAGGCCATTGACATTGGATGTTTAGGCCTTAGCCAGCCAGTTTGTTAGACTGGATATTTCTGAGCCGAGTCGAGTATTGGCCTGTGTGGTCTCTCGATCTTCTCTTTATAATCATATCAGGGAGCATCAGTATGATGATCCCCATCTGCTTGTCCTTAAGGACACGGTCCGACACGGTGATGCTAAGAATGTCACTATTGGAGATGATGGTGCATTGAGAATGTAGGGCAGGCTATGTGTTCCTAATGTAGATGGTTTGCATGAGCTGATTCTCCAGGAGGCTCATAGTTTGCAGTATTATATTCATCCGGGTACCGCGAAGATATATCAGGACTTGAGGCAGCATTACTGGTGGAGGAGGATAAAGAAGGACATAGTGGAGTATGTAGCTCGGTTCCTAAACTGCCAACAGGTGAAGTATGAGCATCAGCGACCAGGTGGGTTGCTTCAGAAGTTAGAGATTTCGGAGTGGAAATAGGAGCGGATCACTATGGATTTCATTGTTGGGCTTCCACGAACTCAGCGGAAGTTTGATGCAGTTTGGGTGATTGTGGATCGGCTGACGAAGTCAGCTCATTTCATTCCTGTGATGACTACCTATTCTTCCGAGTAGCTGGCTCGAGTGTATATTCGTGAGATCATCAGGCTTCATGGCGTACCAGTATCTATCATTTCTAACCGGGGTACACAGTTTAGATCACGATTCTTGAGGGTCATACAACATGAGTTGGGTACTCGAGTGGAGTTGAGCACAACATTTCACTCTCAGACGGACGGACAGTCCGAGCGCACTATTCAGATATTAGAGGATATGCTCCGTGCGCGTGTGATGGAGTTTGGGGGTTCATGGGATCAGGTTTTGCCACTAGAAAAGTTTTCCTACAACAACAGTTATCAGTCGCGCATCCAGATGGCATCGTATGAGGCTCTATATGGTAGGCGGTGTAGGTCTCCAGTGGGTTGGTTCGAGCCGGGCGAGGCTAGATTATTGGGTATAGACTTGGTTCAGGATTCTTTGGAAAAGGTTATGGTGATTCAGGATAGACTACGCACAGCCTAGTCCAGACATAAGAGTTATGCAGATCAAAAGGTTCGCAATGTTGCATTCATGCTTGGAGAGCGGGTCTTGCTCCGGGTGTCACCCATGAAGGGTGTTATGAGGTTCGGGAAGAAGGGAAAACTGCGCCCGAGGTTTATCGGTCCATTTGAGGTATGGCGACGTGTTAGGGAGGCTGCTTATGAGCTTGCCTTGCCTCCCTATCTAGTAGGAGTTCATCCAGTATTCCATGTTTCTATGCTCCGAAAGTATCACTGTGATCCATCTTACGTGTTAGATTTTAGCTCAGTCCAGTTGGACAAGGATTTATCTTATGTTGAAGAGCCAGTGACGATCTTAGATTGGCAGGTTTGAAAGCTGAGGTTGAAGAATATTGCTTCTCTGAAGGTTCAGTGGAGTGGTCAGTCGGTCGAGGAGGCGACTTGGGAGAAGGAGCACGATATGCGCAGTCGTTATCCTCATCCTTTCACCACTTCAGGTATGTCTCTATGCTCGTTCGAGGACGAACGATTGTTTTAAGAGGGAGAGGATGTAACGACCTGGACGGTCATTTTGAGTGTATTAGCCCCGATCCCCTATTTACTGTTTTCCCTGTATCTATTTCTGCTTATGTGACTTGCCGGGAGGTCTTGTTTTTAGTTTCGGTATATTTTGGGACACTTAGTCCCTAAAACGGAAGCCAAGTCTCAGGATTTTTGACCTTAGTCGGAATTATGTGAAGACGACTTCAAAATGGAGTTCTGTCGGTTCCTTTAGCTCCGTTGGGTGATTTTGGACTTAGGAGCCTGTCCGGACT